AGAGAATCGATCATTCAACCTTCCGATTTCCCGTTTGGATGCTCAACCATTGATCTACAAAGAACCCGGAAGGGAGCTAAGCCATTAATAGGTACAACGTATGTATAGCAGAAAAACATGTATGACTCAGTTTCGCCCTTGCCGGCTCGCTTCTTTTGTTCAGCTTATGAACGAAAAGAAAGAATTTCGACCCAAACAAATATCATCATAAACACCGTAATTGTTAATCAAATACGCTAACCCTATAAAGCATCAAGCTTGAAGGTTACCGGCCGTGTATTTTATGAGTAAAAACTAAGTTAGCGAAAGATACAAAAATAAAACTAATTTTCTGAGTCTGATACGAGACGCAGAGAGTATTTGTAAATTGATCACAGGCTTGGTTTTTTTCCTCTCCATTCCAGAAGTGACGATTTCACACTTTTTTAATTTTCAAAGAGTTATTTCAGCTAGCCTAATTTGCTAATTTGCTATATATATCATGCAAGTTATATCATGCAAATGAATCCTCCACACACACAGAAAAACAAATACTTTAAAAAAGAGCCATAGTGTTTAGTGATTCTCGTCTTTGTCATACGCAAAGTCAAGGGCCCGATTTAAGCCTGTCTGTGTCAGGATTGACGACCCAAGGGAGCATCAGGGCAGTATGAGGAAGTGAAGAAATAATCACTATAAGAGTTGTTGGAGATTTTACGATACGTTAATTCGTCTTAATTTGATTGACATTTGTGAGTTATTTAGTTTGTCTTCTACATAGCATTTATCTGTCACGTTTTTTTATTTTTTTTAAAGCCCATATATGGCCTTGTTCCATGTGCCTGCTGCCTCACGATTTTAGTGTCTTTTTCACTAAGAGCTGTGAGAGGGAGTTAACCGAAGCGTTGTAATAAAATCATAAAATTAATAGAATAAACCGTAACTTGATTTGGAAGCGAAGTACAGCTTTTCCACGTTTTCAAAAGAGGGAAGTGTAATCAGAGTTACGCTTCAGACGACTAATTTCAAAAACGTTTTACATTGAATATTTCCTTCTTATCAAGGAGTTGACGTAAGATTAGATAGACACATTATCTATGCAGGATCTTGGGCGCAATCGAACTTTTCATGGAAATATTGATGGTAACTTCAATAAATTAATCAACAGTGAACGCAATGCAGGTTTATCGTGTAAATTATACCATTAGAGATGGAATAATGAAGTATGACCCTGTGTCTGCCGAGCACAGGTATTGTCGATATGTGCTCTCTACTCGCACGTTCTTGTTTTTTTTGTTTTTGTTTTTTTCTTTTCTTGTTTTTTTCTTTTTCTTATTAAAATAAAGAATTATGACATATTTCGTGGCGGTCTCTTTAAGTTTTTGATAAATCGTAACTGATACGGTCGGAAAAGTCGAAGTCCTTTATTTGCGAAACGTGATCCTACTTTGACCGTCACGTGATCGTTTGGAAATTTGTTGTGCTAGGTTGATTGATGCTGAGTTTTGAAACCTATTAAAAAAAAAAGAACAATTAAACTTCTGATTATTCTAAAGACTATTACTCATCGTGCGTAAAGCAAAGAATAAACATCACGATTGTTGTAGAGCATTAAACTTACGAACTTTTAGGGATGTTTCATTTAAATAGTGGAACCAAAAATTGACAGTTTAACCGAGCGTTCGGTAAATATCGAAGAAACTGAATATGTCTCATTTTCCTGGTTTTTTTGTTCAGTCACATGATGTCTTAGATGTCGAAACAATATATCTCTTTTCGTGTGTTAACATCCTGAATGAATTAACTGAAGTATTCTAAAGATTAGACCTCATCGCGTGTAAAGGGAACTCATGATAAAACCTGAGCGGTCAAGAAATTACACGACTGAAAACAAACTGAAAATATTGCTAAGTAAGCTTTTGACGAGCGGTTGTGACCTTTGCTTCCTTCAGAGCATAAGAATATAATATGTAAATAAAAAATAATCTCGAGTCATTTTGCTAAATTTGAGAAGATGAAGAATAAAACTATTGGGGAAATAGAACGGTGGATCTCGCCTGGCGGGAAGTCACTCTAAAGATCAAGATAATTTCCACATCAGCCCGATGGCTGTGTTTGTTTGTAGCTTCGTCATTGTTATGTTAGTTTTAAATGTGGTCCAGCCCGGCAGCTTCTAGGTTTCGTTTACGTTTTCAGTCTGATTGATAACGCTCAAAAACCATAAATTTCCATGCTCAGTGAATGTAAATGCGACGTTGTCGTCTAGATGTAGGCGGTAAAATTCAGGCTGGAATTATCGATAACCTTAAACCGTCATAGTACCAAATACCCCGAAACATGCAGGAAAAAACAACAAACAAAAATAATTGTATACACGAATACCTTATAAACAGCCTCCTATTGCAAGCTCAGGATTGATCACCGGATGTTTGAAGTTACAAAAGTCTTCTCAACGATTGATCTAAATGATTTGGCCACGCGGTGGGAACACAATGCCCGCAGCTTACGTCAACTAATAAGCAGAGAATTCGACGGTCATGTGACCATCTCAGGTATTTTCGGGATTGAGCAGTTCCCGGTTGTCAATTAAGCGGTTTCCTAGTGTACTGTAGACACAATAATCCATTGTTTGACAATTTTTTTAGATTTTGGAGGCATTTTCTCTTCTGTTCGAAATGTTAGACTAAAATCCTAATACAAAAAAAATCTTAAAGTAAGCGTTAGTGTCAAAATGTGGTTGATTGAGACGGTCGATATCACTGGCATCGTCCATCTAGGACCGAACCATCAGTTACAGTCTAACCTGTATTAAGTGGTCAGTTGTCAAAGTCCCGAGATTTTTTCTTTCGTTAAAGTTTAATTTAAACCTCTGTTAAGCGGTCACCATTGGCTGAGTTCCAACGGGTTGTCTCTATTGCCGTCCCACCTGTATTGATCGGTCAGTTAAAGTCAGTTTAACACTAGGAATAATTCCCCAAGTCAAATTAATTCCATGTTTATCTCCTGAAATCAATGTTAGTTCTTTGAGTTCAAATGACCAGTGGTATTGCAGATTATCTTCTTTCCTAAGACTGTAAGGACGAAAAGCGTATTTTAAAGCGTTTGACTCCTGTCATAGCGGTCAACGTGCATTAAGCGGTCACCCCGCCATTTCCCGTGGATGACCACGGACAGTTTCGAGTGCACTCAGGTTCCGCAAAGAAGCAAGTTTTTATTTTTCCCATTTTTAAATAGTTGTTCATTAGTAAGAGAAAGGGTAGGTCCTGTTTCAGCTCCAGAGGAACTCCAGAGAGACACTAATTCACTTCATCACAGCATGATATATTTATCCATTAATCATCTATGCTTAAGGAGTGAAGGAAATTATTTCTAACTAGGTTAAATTCATCGGCTAGCTTCTTCATGTTTTTCAAATGGCAAACTGATATACGAGGACTAAAACTCGAACCATATTCGATTGTTGAGATCACTTCTGGGCACAAGACGAGAGAACCTGTCAAGAGAAATTATTAAAGCTTTAATCCCCCAAGAAACACCAATATATCAAGAATGATACCTTCTTTCGAAACCTTGAGTTTCCTTTTATCATCATTTATGCTGAGTCAGCAAAGATAATTGCATAAAAAAATAACGCGATCCTTCCGCTGTGCTTCCCTAAAAGGGGAATATCAATCGACTGCAAATACAAATAGTGTAGGACGTGCGAATGACATATCCTGTAACTTGAACTTGTTAACCAATTTTGTAGATCCTTTGCGCGCCGCATTCAGGACAAATCGAGAGTTTTCCCACTTACTCTATCGACCATACGTCATTTCTTATTTCTCCCTAAACGCGGGTAGTCTATATTGCCTCCTTGGGTTCCGACCTCTGAGCCAGAACCCTGCGAGGGCAAAAAACTATCATTGGAATAGGGGTGTGTAATAAGGGTAAGTACTCTCAGTTTACAATCTCTCGTATAAACTCATATTCGACAA